GGGGGTGGAGAGGGGAGAGACCCTGGGGGTGGCCCCTCAGGGGTGAGAGCTGCAGGGAGGAGAAGGAGGGGTTCAGGAGGGTGTCTTCCAGGAATGCAGCCCCCAGGGGTGTGCGGGGGAGGCAGGCTAAGGAGGGAAGACACCGAGTAGGAGAAACCAAAAACAGAACCTCAACGGAAACCATGAGAGAATGGTCTGGAACCAAATCTGAGAAAAGGCGGGCATGCAGATTTCCACAGACTTTCCGGGCTGGTGTCCCAGCCTGCGGGCGCCTGGGGGTGGGCAGACTGGGCAGGAGGGGCTGCCTGGCTGCAGGCCGCTGGCTCTGCTGCCTGAGGCTGGCCAGGGTGCAGGGCAGAGGCAGGGGTGCAGGGCACAGGCAGGGGCTGGCCACTTACACTTGACCTGCAGGATCTGGTCGCTGAGGTTGGCTTGGAGGTAGAAGGTGCTGTAGGGGGGCAGCACGAGCCCCAGGCTGGGGGGGCAGGGGAGGGGCTCGGTCACTGCTGGGGAGAGGTGGGCCACGCAGGCACCCCCTCCCCACGGCCTTGGAGCTGGGGAGAGACCCGGGCTGTGGCCTCCCCTCCCCTGACCAGCAGGGACATCTTTCCCTGTTTAGTGGTGGGAGATTCATGGCCTAAGGGCCTGGACCCTTCACTCCCCAAATTCTCCTGGAGACCTCAGAACATCCAGCCAAAAAGCGAATCTCCACCCCACCCCTCAAGCCCAGCAGCCTCCCCCAACATACCAACTGCCCGGCCAGCCTCCTCCGTCTGGCCGGCAGCAAACTCACAAGGGGCAGGACACTGTCAGTGAGCTAGGCTGGGGTGGGAGCTGCAGTGCGAGTGGGGTCCCCAGTCCCCAGGCTCAGGCCATGTGAGACCAGCTGAAAGCAGGCTGGCACTAACACGGGGAGGAGCGGCTCAGGCCGCTCCTGAGGTGAGTGAGACAGCTTATGCTGCCGAGACCTGACCCACAGGGGACCGGCTCTGGGGCTGCGATGCCGTTGAGAGGCCTGTGAATGAGGGAGACAGCCTGGGTGCAGACACCCAGGGATACAATCCAGGCGGGAGGGATGGGAGAGGGTGGGGGGGCGCAGGGAGGCATCAGATGTATGTCTTGTCTCTGTCCTGTGCTCCCAGGAGATGGCACTTGTTCCTGAAGGGTCAGCAAGAGGCCCTTGGGGACTGAGCGTCATGGGGTGAGAGGTGAGCAGCGCTGGCTGCAGGTGCCCCGCTGCGATTTGGCACAATGGTGTGGGGGGCAGTCGGGCTCAGCTCTGGCCTTGGGGCACCCCCGCCCTTCCCTGCCTGCCCAACCTTGGCCCCACTCACCTGTAGTTGGTGCTCCTTATGGGCACCCAGGTGTAGTTCCGCATCACCTCATCTATGTACCTCTGGGAGGAGAGGCTAGGTCAGGCACTTGGGCTGGCAGGCGGGTGAGGTGCAGGGAGGACAATGTCCACCCCAACTCTGTCCCTCCTCCACCACCTGCTCACCTCGTCCAGGGACTTGACCAACGTTCTGATCTGCTTGTGGCCCCTGTTGCCATCGATCATGCTCCGACGGATCTAGAAGAGCAGAGACGTGAGGGGCGGGGCCCACCTTTCTCTGCTGGGGTGGCCCACCCCTGCTCCCCTCCTTCCGCACCTCCTCCTTGTTTCCGTCTTCCAGCTCGGCGTCCAGGAAGTCCAGGGTCACAGGCTCCCGGAAGTTGGTGGTCTGTGACAGGCAGGGCAGGAAGTCAGGGGGCCCCACCTCACAGGGTCTAATCCCCTCCAGGCCACCCACATGGCTTACCTGGGGCTTGAGGTTGGGGTGCAGCAGCACATAGCCGTTCAAGTCAATGGCAAAGACGTAGCCGTTGGCTCCAAGCTGCAGGTGTAGATTGGGGGGGGG